GCATCCCATAATACTGTCAGCAACTGATGTTTACAGGATACACACACACACACACACACACACACACACACACACACACACACACGCGGATCCTTCTGCTCAAATGATTATTTTTATATCTGATGCCGAGAGTGTTCTTTAAGACTGATGTTTGTGTAGACTGGTGTGTGTGTGTGTGTGTGTGTGTGAGAGAAAGTGAGTGTGTGTGTGAGTGTGTGATCGTGTGTGTGAGAGAGAGTTAATGTGTGAATGTGTGTGATAGATTGAGTGTCTGTGTGCAAGAAAGTGAATGTGTGCCTTTGTGTGTGTGTGTGTGAGAGAGTAAATGTGTGTATGTGTATTTGAGAGTTTGTGTCTTGTGTGCATGTGTGAGTAAGAGTGTGTATGTCTGTGCGCATGCCTGTCATAAGGAGTGAGTGTGCGTGTGTGAGAGAGTATGTGTGTGTGTGTGTGTGTGTGTGTGTGTGTGTGTGTGTGTGTGTGTGTGTGAGACAGCGCTGTACTGTAGGCATGTTGATGTTTTGATATGATGTGTTTTGTCACACACACGTGTTGTGTTTCTGAGTAAAGAAGCTGCTGCTGAAGAACAACACACTGATTCCCTATCGCCTGCTCTGTGTGTGTGTGTATGTGTGTGTGTGTGTGTGCATTACAGACTGCAACTTCAGGACACTTATTTCTGACAAACACACACACACACACACACACAAGTTATATGTTTTTTGGTGTTCTGTTTAGTCAATTTGATCCTTTTCTTTACAGAAATTTTGAGTTTTTGTTACACAATATAAGGCGACACAGTGGCCTCACAGCAAGAAGGTCGCTGGTTTGAGTCTCGGCTGGGTCAGTTGGTGTTTCTGTGTGGAGTTTGCATGTTCTCCCCGTGTTGGTGTGGGTTTCCTCCGGGTGCTCCGGTTTCCACCACAGTCCAAACACATGCACTATAGGGGAACTGATCAACTGAATTGGCCGTACTGTATGAGTGTGTGTGAATGAGTGTGAATGGGTGTTTCCCAGTGATGGGTTGCAGCTGGAAGGGCATCCGCTGTGTAAAACATATGCTGGAATAGTTGGTGGTTCATTCCACTGTGGTGACCCTTGGAGAATAAAGGGACTAAGCTGACAAGAAAATGAATGAATGTTACACAATTGGGATATTTGTAGACAATCCGAAAAGATTTTTAATTTAACATTTCACGACCAAATATACAATCTACAGCAGTTATATATCTCAAACTACATTCAGTATTTTTAAATTCTGTTTCATTTCGAGTCTCAAGTTTTGTCTTTTCTAACATTCATTCATTAACTTTCCTCTGACTTAGTCCCTTATTTATCAGGAGTGACCACAGTGGAATGAACCGCCAACTATTGCAACATATAATTTACATAGCAGATGCCCTTCCAGTCACAATCTAGTACTGTAAAACACCCATACACACTCACACACACACACACACACACACACACACACACACACACACACACACATACATACATACATACACACACTCAAACACTATGGCCAAAAAGTTAATCAATTCCACAATAAATACACACATTACAATGCATTTCAAAATATTAGCTAATATGCACCTTACTGTTTTTACTTTATTAGTATTCCTATTTATATCTTGAGATATTTTGTCAAACATGAAAAGAAAAACTGTGCTTTATGTGCTTTAAAGATCATGACACTCCCTACTTTCGGTTCAGGTCCACCTCAGAATTTTTTCAAAAGATGCATCATAATGGGGGTGGAGCTCCACGAGCAAAGGGCAGGAGTGGGCGTGGCCAGCAGGGGAGAAGGAGGGGAGTGAACAACTGTTGTCAGTCGGCTCACAAAACGTGAGTAGACGCACGATTTTATAGATTACACAGTTAAAATGCAAAGAAATAATCAGTAATTTAACGCCCTGCTACATTTGCTATTCATAATTTCATATACAGATAACCACAATTTAAATCATTATAAAGATAATCGGGTTCATATAAACACTATAAATGAAGACTTCTCCCTCAATCCCCGGGTCTGAATGCAGACTCAGTGCAGCAGGTCTCTTGTCCTGTCTGTTTTAACCATTAGCCCTGCTGGTAATCTGGAGCATTTAGGCGAACACAGCAGCACGACGGCGATGTGTCTAAATGTGAACGAACTCCTGATAAAAGACAACGTTCGCCATTCTCCAATTCTCGTACTGCTCTCCCGACAAAAATACTTGCAGCACACACACAGCTTTGCTGTATCGGCCCTGACAGAATCGCGGTGAAAAACATGCAACAAACCCCGTGGATCATGGAAACAAGCACATACGAGCCTTCATGAACAGCTAAATACTCTGTACTTTGGGTCCGTCTCTTACAGCTTGGCAGGTCTGTCTTGCCTTCGGAAAGCATGTGCAGTCATGAATAATTAAGAAGTCGGCTCTTCTCATAGGATAAGGAAACTCCGCTATGAATAATAATGAGAAACCGACGCGTCATCATTGCACTTGCAGTACTGCGCTCCGCCACCGATTTTGATCCGCCTCAAAAATAATTTCAAACCCGGAAGCTGAAATTAGCCGACAAACGCTTAAAATGATCCAGTTTTCCCCACAATTAAAGCTGACAGGTGCTAATATTGTCTTAACTGATGCTCAACACACACACATCTGTTAACATCTCAAAAAAGTACTCGAGGGTTTCGTGAACCTTTAAAGTCACACTCACTCCTGTTTTTGTCAGAAATAAGCATCCATATCAGTGGTCACCAAACCTGTTCCTGGAGGGCCGGTGTCCTGCAGAGTTTAGCTCCAACCCTAATCAAACACACCTGAACAAGCTGATCAAGCTCTAACTAGGTATACTTGAAACACTCAGGCAGGTGTGTTGAGGCAAGTTGGAGCTAAACCCTGCAGGGAGACCGACCCTCCAGGACCAAGATTGGTGACCCCTGGTCTATATGATTGCATATGATATTTTAATGTGAGTCTGGATGTGTGTGCCAGATCTGGAGCCAACAAATGTGTGTATTATTCAGATTCAGTGTGTTTCAGAGACCAAATAATCCTCAGTTTCTGTGTTCTGGTGTTTTCTGTTGCTCTGCTCTTCATTTCTGCCAAACCTTTTATGCAACTGCAGCCTGTGAAGACACACAGACATGGGCTTTTATTATTGTTATTGTTGTTGTCATAACACTTTAATTTTGTATAAAGTGTTTGCCTATGGACGTATAAAGATTAAAAAAATTACTTTGTACAGATGAATTATATGAAAGTTTAAAAATAAATATATGTACAGGTCAAATAAAGCATGTTGCACACGTACAACTCAATCAGCAGCAGTTAAACAGGTCTTTACCAGTGTTCAGTTCTCGCTGAATCATCCATCATACGCCTTTGAAATAAAAATGAGTCGTATGCAATACATGACAGTGCTGTGTTTTAATTATTTACACATTAATGAGGACTTTTAACTGCTTTTCTTCTCTCCCAAGCCGTAGAAACAGAAGGTGAGTGTTTCTCTTTTATTTGTATATTTAAAAAAGTATATTTAAAAAATATATATATTTAAAAAATAAATATGTAAAATAAATCATATGGCTAGTTATTAGGAGCCATCGGTGAAATTTGATGTGGAAACAAGACAAGAGTTGTACGTCGCCACTTCCGGTGTGCTTGTCTACGCTTTATTATAAAATATGGTTTTACACTATATTTTTGTGATTAAACAAGTTGCCGTATATCAATCCGAACAATTTAACTCACATTTTACCTACTCCAACAACAGATATACTGTACACAAATGTTAAATTCATCTCGAGACTTTTATGTGGAATTCTGTAGACCGGATGTTGTCATGTCGAGCCTCTGCTTTGCGCGCTTGTATTTTGTTTCCTGTTTGGAAAGCAGCAGGCGACAAACAGCAGCAAAACTCCTAACATGTTAGTTATCTTTAATTAAATATGATCTGAGATTATATCCGGATTTTAATGGAGACGAACTCAAAAGCCTCCGCGGGACGAGAGAAGGTAAACGCCGTAAACAACTTCTGCTTCTGATGTTACACTCATGTAAAGTTGATAAAAACACAGACTAAAGTTGAATTAAACATCACAAATTTATGAAGAGTCATGTTATAAATCATGATTTATTATCCGCCATGTGTGCAAGTGAACAAAATAATATGCTTTTTTTAGTGCTGTGGATGTTATTATTATTATTATTATTATTATTATTATAGTTTTCCAACTAGCAGGCTGATGATCAATAGTTTAATTGATTCTCTTTGTAAACAACTATTCCTGAATGCTGACTGAATTTTTTAAAACAAAGTAATATTAATATATACAAATAATTATAGCAAACCCAGCAGTTTAAAACAAAACATTTTGTGTTTTCTCTGCTAAATGTGTTTTGCTGTAGGTTTTCATTTCTTTTCGGCTTAGTCCCTTTATTAATCTGGGGTCACCACAGCGGAATGAACTGCCAACTACAGAAGTAAAGTTGGTTTTATATTCGGATTTTCAGACATTCTCCTTAATAATATCATTTCAGAAAAGTATTCATTGCAAATTTTAAATAGGGAAATTATATTAGCAGCCAATGACTATCAAAGTACAACATTGTTCACAGTCAAATAAATAGTGTTAATGTTGTTTTCAAGTCACACTTGCATGCTAATTCCGATCGAATATTCAAAGTAACATAGTAAACAATATATAGACTGCTAAATCAACGAATGTGTGAATATAAAACCAACTTTACCTCTATCTGCCAACTTACCCAGCATACGTTTTATGCATATGTTTCCCGCTGCAACCCATCACTGAGAAACACCCATACTCACTCATTCACACACACTCATACACTTCGGCCAACTTAGTTGATCAGTTTCCCTATAGCGCATGTGTTTGGACTGTGGGGAAAACCAGAGCACCCGGAGGAAACCCACTCCAACAAGGGGAGATAAAGGTAAAGTTGGTTTTATATTCACACATTCGGACTTTCTGCTTAGTAATATAATTTCAGAAAGCTACTATTTGCAAATTCTAAATAGTAAAATCATACTAGCAGTCAATGACTATCAAAGTACAACACTGTTCACAGTCAATAACATAGTGCTAATATTGATTTGAAGACATCCTTGCATGCTATTTCAGACTCAATATTCAACATAGTGTGGTAAACAATATATTAGCTATTAAATTAAAGAATGTGCGAATATCAAACCTACTTTACCTCAATTACGGGGAGAACATGCAAACTCCAAACAGAAACACTAACTGAACCAACTGGCTCGAACCAGCAACCTTTTTATCGTGAGGCAATTGTGCTACCCACTGTGCCACCATGCTGCTCTTGCTGTAGTTAATATATATATATATATGGCCAATTCCATGCAAATGTCAACATTGCCAGGAAAGGTTGTGCAGTTTAATTCACAGAATTTCAACAAAGTCTTTTGTATACTGTAAATTCGCTAACATTTTTCATCACATCCCCAACACATGTTTATTTTCCTGATTTAAAGTATAAAACATGTCAATACAGATTGATATTTTTCTGCTTAAAGGGGCTAATAATATTATCCCTAAAATGGTTTTTAAAAAATTAAAAGCTGCTTTTATTCTAGACGAAATAAAACAAATAAGACTTTTTCCAAAAGAACAAATGTTATCAGACATACTGTGAACATTTCCTTGCTCTGTTAAACATCATTTGGGAAATATTTTAAAAAGAAAGAAAAATTCAAAGGGGGTGAATAATTCTGACTTCAACTGTATATATTTGCACACATATAATAATAATATATATAAATATATTAATTGAAAAATTTATAAAAATGTTTTTTAACATTTATTATATATAAATATAGACCGGATCTAAAAATAGTAAAATTGAGTGCTCTAAAATACACTCTTTGTAGGTGTCTGGGTAACATTTAACATATAAAAATGTTTTTTAACATTTTTAAACAGGGTGCAATATATATATATATATATATATGTGTCAGGGTGCATATCAAATCACTTTTATTGTCACATCATCAGCAGCACGTGTGCTATGATGAGTAAAAAAGCTTAGGTGCTGGCTCCAGACAGTGCAAAATACAACAGCATACTCCCAAAAACAAAGGCCAATGTAAAATTGACAGCGATATGTACAATGAATAGGTGTCCACATAGTTGTTGGCAGTATTGTTTCAAGTATGGATTGGTTAAAGTATACAGTACTATATTTATGTATATGTATGATTTACTTAGTGTGTGTGTGTGTGTGTTTGTGTGTATGCGTATGAATATATATATTATATAT